TGGAGGTTGAATCAGAAATGCCAATTTCTCGAATCTCTGGATTATGTTGTTTGGTTGTGTTTTGTGACATTGTGGAATTTGGGGATAGAAAGCAGAAATTTTGCGTTCGAAATCCACATTTTAGTGGAATTTGAAATGATGCCAATGGGGCTAGTCATATTATTTCCATGGAACCGAGGTGGGAATGGATTTGAAGTCCAAATTTGCTCCTGCAAGCCAAACATTAGGGCATATTGGCCCAGTCTTAATTTTTCTGATGCTTCATAACATAGATTTGTAACAACAAATTCAGAAATCTACAGTAATATGTAAAATAGCTCTATACATTAACAATCATTTGCTCCATTTATTTGCAGAAAATTTCCTTTCTCCAAAGACATGTTCTGTTAACGATTTTTGATGAAATCAATAAAAACCTAGGGGTAATCCTTTTTCTTCTAATCTTATGTGTAGTGGAAATTTGCAGATTTTCAGGTGAGGCAACTGCACTTGTGAGTAAGCAAGTTTACTCAAATACAATAAATTTGTGCCAATCATCTCCGTCGGCTGAAGTTTTACATGCTTTAGACTACCTTAACATTAACCAGCTGATGGTGGCTCAGTTGGTGGTATCTAGATTTCGGATCAAATTCCACTTTAGTTAAGACTTTTAGGCTCAGTTTGGAAAGAGGGGTGTCAATGGAACGTTTCAGATTGGATTCCGTCCAAATCAAAATCCATTTGGATGGATTGGACGGACTAATAAGATATATTGAATTTGGATGGACCAATACGTCATATTGGATTGGACCTGGTCCGTCCATAATAAATTTATATTGGATCGAGCCAACATCTGGTCCGTTGATAGAAAATAAGAATATGGGTGCTAATAGACCAGGTTTGAGTTGAAACCAATCTAAATTAACAGAAATTTAAACAAATTGGACAGTCTTTGGACCGGTTTAAAATGGTCCAAAATATTCATTGAACTGGACCGGATTGGACCAAGTCCAATCCAATTGACACCGAAAGAGTATAAATGCAAATATACACAGTACAAATACATACAAAAATAATATAAAATATAAAGTTTTGCACTCTACAAATTTGTATTTATACTCCTTCCAAACAGAGCCTTAGATTGTGGAATTACATCAATCAGAGATGCTGCGGTGTGTTGAAGCTGGTGAAAGGAAAATGGTAATTTATCATATGATATTAATGAGTTGTGAATTAAAAATAATATAATGTGCATATGGAACAAAAAGAGCAAAATTTATGTTATCTGTTCGGACAAAAAACAATAATATAGAGAATTCCAGTTTACTTTGGGGGATTGGTTCGGCATGGCCCAAACCCGTGTGAACCCGTGCCATGGGTTGGATTGGTATGTGGACTGAGTTTTGGGCTAGGCCAGGCCACGGATTGGGCAAAGCCATACTTTTTTAAAAATTTTGAAAAGAATAATGGATTTTTTAACATAAATTAAAAATAGACAAAAAATAAAAAAAGATCTTAAAGTTTTATTTTAAATGAATTTTGATGTATATGATTGCTTATTTTATAGGTCGTGGTAGCAGGCAGGCCACGGGCAGTACGGCCCGGCCCGCTTGACCATATCATATCGTGCCAACCCATGGACTTGAAACACTAAATCCGGCATGTCTCATATGACCTTGTCTACGACCCGATTTACACCTATAGATATATGGAACTATGGAAGTATCTTATAAATAAATCAACTAATAATAATAATAATAATAATTTATTTTGAGTTAAGGAACATTATCCTTTAAAACCAAATAGATAATCCAATATCTTTTTCCTTTGAACATACAGTGATAGAGCCACATGGAAAAAGACACGGTTCGAGGCCCCCTTGACTCTTAATTAAGTAAAATAGACAAATAAATAGAAAGAGGTTCAGACACGCCACTAACAAGTGTTCTGCGTCCAATTCAACAACTCAAGGGCATTAAAACTCCAGTCCAAACCATGACATTGTTCTCACAATCAAAAGAAAATAGAAAAAACAATGAAATAAAACAAAGAAGATTACACACACCAAAATCAAACAAAACAACCGAGTATCACCACAATGCTACCTAGCCGCAACAAAATCAAGCTCACCATAATAATAATGGGAACCTGATCAATCTCTGTATCTATCGGCCAAAACTCACGATAACTTTGTTGACCAAGCAATCAAATCAGCCTTTAAGAAGAAGAAAGAATGAAGGGAAAAAAGAGAAAACAAAGAAGACTTGAGGAAGATTCTGGGTGGCTAAAGAGAGAAATGGGAGAACCGGAGAAGGAAAAGATAAAAGAAAAAAAAAAAAAGCAGGGAGAACGAGTTCAGCTCATCATCACCACTAATTAACCCCCCCCCCCCCCCCACCTACAAAATCTATAATGTCAACCCAAGCACTGCTTGATCCAACTACACCATGTGAAGAAACATTAAGAATTAGATGAGGGAGAGGGAAAGAGATTAGAGAAACAAGAGAGAAGCAAAATACGGAGAAAATCAGAGCGGCCATATGAAGCAARATACAATAAAGTTCTGCTCCAACACATTACGGAGAGAATCAGAGAGTCAAGCAAGGTAGGTGACGATATGAGAGAGAGATTGATGGATTCATGGGGTATTCCATGGGTTCAGCCTAAAGCCTAGAGCCTAGAGCCTAGGCTTATACTCGATGGGTTCAGCAAAAGCTTATCTAAAGCTTAGAGTCTATTCAGCCTAAAGCCTTTGTCCATTGGACTATTAGAGTATAAGCCTTTGTCCATCGGGTCTAAAGCCTTTGTCCACCGTCTATCGGGCTATCATCGGCCTATTGTCTATGGGATTATTTTTGATCATTGAATGTTATATTTTAAGTTTTAACCATGTGGTACGGTTGAGGACATTTCTCATGTATTTTATTTCTTGGGTACTCTGCACAACATCTAAATTCCCATGCCTAAGGTATTTTTTTAGGGCTGTTCATAAATAAATCCAAATCAATTAAATCGATCAATCCGGTCCGATTCAATTCGATTTAGTCAGTTTTTTTTYCATTATCGGTCAGCTTCGGGTTRTAAAGATGAACAAATCGATAATTCGGTTCGGTTTCGGTTTTTACATATATATTTTAAAATATATCAAATATATATTTCCACAAATTAGAAAATATATATTTCGATATATTTGTATATATGTTTTGGTTTTAAATATATATTTTCAAAAAATATATTTTGAAATATTATATATAATATTAGCATTTTRACTTCATTTGTATTGTACAAGCTTGGAGTTGGTTGAAACCCAAATCGACTCAAACCGACCAGGTTGGTTTTACTTAATAGAGAGTCGGTTTCGGTTTGGTCTATAAGTAACCCGACTAGGTTGGGTTGATTGAAAAAATACTACTAAACCGACTCAACCCGACCCGTGAACAGCCTTAATTTTTTGTACAATTATAGAATCTGTAGAAGCAAGGAGTTGATTGCCAAGAAAAAGAGAAAAATGAAAATGATGAAAAAAATGAAAGTTTCTTGATAATAAGAGGTGTGTCATGGTTTTAAAAACCAGACTGGACCAAATGCTGACTGGTTGACCCGGGAATTGGTTAGATAATTGATTCCGTTTCACCCTAAAACTGCTCCTAGGCCAAAAACCATTGATTTGGTCAGCGACCTACTGACCCAGGCAGTCAAAATATCGACTTGTCAATCTGGACAACTATTTTTGGCCATTATTCTATTTTAATTTTTTTAAATCAAAATGGGCTATTCGTTTGAACCGGATAATTGGACCATTCGACCTGAGAACCGATCCCCAAAACAGTTCTGTGTCCGGTCTAGTTTTTAAAACCTTGGTTGTGTGTGATTCAGCTTTAGCCTCTCGATATGGGCGAGATCACCTACAGTACTGTCTACAGTACTGCCTCAACCCGGGTTACAGTAAAAGGATTTGAAGGAATTACATGGGGCCTAAACCTTATGTTTACAGAACACTGACGTGTTCATTTTTTATTGGTCTTATTGGCCGTTCTACATTATTTAAGTCTCGAAACTGGTCGGGTTATCAGCCCTGAACCGTTATTTTTATAAAATCAGATCAATGACCTATTGAACTGGGTGGTTGATCCGTTGACTCAATTGACCCGGACAATGATTTTTGGACCAAATTTTATTTAATTATTTTTCATTTTCTTAAAAAGTCACAAACTGATGACATGGAAACCAGTGGCCAAAGTGGTTCCTGGTTTCGGGTTGGTTTTTTAATACCTTGCATTGGGTGTTGTTCATTCTTACCCAATACCCAGTACTCGGAACCATTTCTAAATCCTCCCTTTCTTTGGTAGGTAAGATTTAAATCTACCTTTAGAATCACATCTGTCACTACTCATAAAGTTCATTTTTTTGTCTGATCTCTAGTCTCTAGTCTCTACATCTGATAATTACTGTCTGGATTTTCTGGGTTTTCAGGTAGATGTGGCTATTAGCAAAGAAAATATGATTTGGATAGATAGATGCAACTCCAATTACAACGTTTGAATTGTCAACAACAGAGATTGATTGGCACTTACAAGTTACAACCTACGTTGTTACGAGTGGAAGGAACATGCATACGACTACGAGTGAGCTTTCTGCAATCTGCACCATATATATGTTCTTTTAAATATATAGCCATAGATAGATAAGCCGAGGACTTGGGAGTTATCCACTACCACTAGCTAAAAGCCTAAAACTGCTTTAGATTTTGGTGTTGAGAAACTTGTGCCTAAGCATAAAAAAGATAAAATTCTGATACCACTATTTCAATGGCTTTGGCTCCAAAAGTCCTCTGCCAGTGATCATTTAGGATGATGAGCCGACCTCACATTCCAAAGATGGGTTGGCTGGGCTATTCTTCCCTCTAGTCTGTACTCTACAGAGATACAAGTACCCTCTTCAAAGATCAATCATTTATACTGTAGTGTTATCTTCAAGCCGTGTTGTAGTTCCACAATACCCAATAAAAAGAGGAGACAAAATTGAATTGAAAGTAAGCATTCAAAGAGATTATAATCTTTTCATATTTTTTTCCCTTTTTCCCCCTTTATATAACTTTTATGTGAATGAGAAATGAGGGATGCTTAAGATGATTCAAGGTAAACAAATAGAAATGTTTCCTTAACTATAATAGGAAAATAATACCCACTAAATATTGGAATAAATACCCCACTACAGCAATCTTTTGTGCCCATGTTTTAAAAGAATAGGCTTCATCTTCCATCTTCATGCATTTCTCTTCTCCCCCCGTGGAATTTGACAGAGAGAAGCATTATTGGAGGCAGGTTTCAAACCACCAGCAATAATTGTTAACAATGAAGATTGGTCACTGAGAATCATTTAACTTGAAAAGACACCAGGACATTACGCTGACTTCGTCTTTGAAGATCCAAAAAGCTCTGGGTCCGTTTGATAGTATACAACATCTCCAGTGTCACTGACATAGTGATCTCGTCTCATACTCCCTATTAGATCTCCGATCAAGTGAAATGGTAGATGCCAAGACTTCCTAGGCTCCCGGTAATACTTCCCAAGTACAGGCTTCGCCGCCTTTGTCTGCAGGGTCACCGTAACAAATGATAAGAACCATTTTCCATTTCCTACTGAGTAATTGATTTCCATAGTTGCTTGTGAGAATTATTTGTTTGAACGAAAGAATTTAACACTTACTGCCTCAACCAGGTGATAGTGAGGGATTTGAGGGAAGAGGTGATGAATCACATGGGTCCCAATATCATGGTGAATGTTGTTAATCCAACCATAGTCACGATCAAGCGTGGTAAGTCCTCCCCTCAGATAATTCCATTCCTGTCACAGTTCAATACAAACCACTGGCATAAATTAACATTTTAAATAAAATTCCATTCCTCTACAAACTTTTACACCGTCTCCTTAACAAAGTTGGAACTTTGACTATGTAAATTGCAGCTAAAAACACTAACTGAAACCAAAATTTTTTTAATGAGTGGTATGTATTACATTTAACTTGTGCTTGCAAGTTTTTTCTGTAAACAATCAATAAGCAGGGGAAACATTAGAACAGAAACAATACCTTTCCACGGTACCATGGAAGTTTATCCTCATGGCCATGGTGATGCAAGTAAGTTACAATATCAAGCCACATGACAAAAATCTGCATTCAAAAGGCACAAGAGAAAATTATATGAGCAGAGACAATAATCCAGCAGGAATTCAAGAAACCAAAGAAATGCATCAATCAACCGTGAAGGAAGAACTAAGCCTACCCAGTAGGGAACTCCATAGAGCTTAAGCATTTGGACCGGACCAATTACACAGGACAACCCCACAAGCAATGCCACCATTGCTACCCAACACACGGTGGATGTAATCACATCTTTCCTCTCGTTAGGAGCAAACAAGTCACTGTCGGGATGGAAGTGGGAACCCGTCTTTCCAGGACTTCTACTCCACTGTAACACAATCAATCACATAACAGAGAACAATAAGAAACACATCGGATTTCTGGCACTTCTATTCCACTGCACAAATGGATTTTGAACCAGCCAAGAAACACGACACCTACCAGATAGAATGGATATGCGAACATGGGGAAAGGCACCATGAACCGCAATGTTCGAGTACTATCGTCCAAAGTTCTGTAAATCTTCTCGGTCAACTGCAAGAGAGGAGATAATCCAAATATAAATAAGAAAATTAGATTAGAAGACAAAGTCCGGATCAGCTGCACATGTTGCATTAAGCAATCAGTGTGTCAGGTATGCAGGACTTGGTGTAAAACTCAGTTACTCAAGAAAACAAAGGCGGAGAAGACATTAACAATAGAATTACTAACCGGGTGCCATGATTCGTCATTCTCAACGTGCCCATGGTTCTGGTGATGAGTCCTATGGCTGATTCTCCTGCAATGTTTATCAATGTACAATTCTGTTAAGAAACTGAACTTCCAAAGCTCATCTATGTTCATGAAATCTCTAAACAATCATGATATTCCCCCACAAATTGAAGAAACAGGCCATAAGAACATACCATCCATGGTAAGGTACAAGGATTGAGGAATGCAGGAAATGCCCAACCACACTATTTAGCTTTGGGTTGTTGGAAAAGCTGCCGTGACCGCTGCACAATCCAAAAACTCGAATAAGGAAAACCATAAAAAGAGGGAATACAAGATATGGTGCTAGTTGCCTAGAATTACAAGAAAAGAATGAAAAAGAGGAAATCCTTTATCGAGTCTAACCAAGAGAGAGGTAGGGAATTTACCAATCATGGCCGAGGACAAAGAGAGCCCAGAACATGGTTCCCTGTGCAGCCCAGTAAAGAGGCCAAACGACCCAATTGTTGAGGTAAGCCGCAGCTGCCGCCAAGCCGAAGACCACAACAACATCCCGGAGGACGTAGCTCATCGAGCGCCAAGGGTCCTTGATCCAACAGTGTTTCGGAATGGCAGCTCGGATGTCAGCCAATCGGAACGGGGGAGGCGCACCAGGATCAAACTTATCTTCTTTGTCGACCCCATTAATCCCATTGACGCCATTAATCTTCTTGGCTCCGCTGTCCTCATCCTCAACAGGTGCGACTCTGGCGGGAGCGCTTACCTTGAGTCCCCAATCTCTGTCCGTAGGCGCGCCTGAAACCCAAATCGGAGAAACATTGAGATCTATCCCACGAACACCGCCACCTCCTTTACACCCAGGCAAACTAATCTTGGTGGGGTTGTTGGAGAAAACTCCAGTTCTGGGCCGAGGAAAACAGCGAGGCAGAGGTCTTAGACCGCATTCTGATAAGACCCAGCTCGCCGCCATTGGAGAGCGAGACCCAGATGGAGAGCTCTAGAGATCTGTAGCTCTCCAACACGTATGGTTATAATAGATGTAGAGAAAAGATAGAGGAAGCAGAGTCAATCTGGGGCTTGAGATACTTTATAGAAATTATTAAAGAAAAAGGAAAAAAAATGCGAGGAGAAGAAGAGATAACACTATGAACGAAGATAGATTCTCTCCCTCTCAATCTTTAACAAGAACCTCACGTTTCTGCTTCGTCGATTCACCTCTATCGTGGCCCTATATGTATAGTATAGTATTGTTACTGGGAGATAGACGGGAAGGAGGAAGAGGAGGAGAAGGGCTTTTTTAAGTGCAGCAGGCGTGACCTGAGGCTGAACCTGAACAGGTGGTGCAGGTGCATACATGTGCGAACACCATGATTGACACGTGTGTAAAACTAATACCTGCATATGTTTTTTCTTTGACTACATCCGTCCGCGGGCGCGGAGGATGACCGGACGTTGTGATACGCACGAGTTTCAAATGGTGGGTCCCGTCCCGTCACATGGAATAGCTGGCTGCATGGTCACACATTCACATACTCCTGGAAAGTCTTCGCACGAACCGGATACCATACCCAATCTGCCCAATCGGGGTTCGTGGTCGTGAAAGCAGAACAGGAGAGGATAGGTCGAAGAAAGTGGAGAGAGGTTCAGTGTGACTTCCGTGTAGSTACCATTTGACTTTTCTTTTTTCTTTTATTTCTTAGACCAAAATGAGTGACGCAGTTTGATCGCAGCCACCAGCCACAACTTTTCTTTTCATCTACATTAACATAATACGAATTGTGTGGCTGTGATGTTACGTGGGTAGACGTGGCAGAGTTTGTGTGGACCTGCCCACTCCTTGTGAAGAGGCTTCTGTTCTGATAAAAAGACTTGTATACCCTACACAAAGAGGGATTCATTGAAACCGATCACACAACATGTACCAGTCACACATCGGAAACTTGTGTGTGGCTGGCTGTAAGGTCGGTGTGAGTAGGGGTGTCAATTGGACTGGATGTGATTCAATCCAATCTAGTCCAATGTGAATCCATTATAAATAGATCACGTCCAATTCAATTTAATGAATGTTTTGAACCAGTTTAAATCGGTCCAATTCAATGTCAAGATCATTCAATCTGTTCAAATTCATTTTGATTTGGATTGATTTCAACTCAAACCCAATCCAATATAAATTTGTTATAGAAGGACCAGGTTCAATCCAATCTAATAAATATTTTAGACCAGATTAGTCCAATTCAATATTTCTTATTGGTCCATCCAAATTGATTTTAGACTGAACRGAGTCAAATCCAAAATCGGTCCATTGACAACCTTAGGTGTGAGTAGCATATCCCAATTCCTTGTTGAAGGAAAATGGATGAATTCTACTCTACTAACTTGGGACCCATTTGTCTGTACCACGAAGAATTCACAAGGAGTTGCATAAACAGATAAACTCGTTTCTTTCACCGCATGGTGTAAACTGTACACTCGGCAGCCAATTCACATCTGCCCCCACAGAAAGAGCGTACATCCCAACCGTATATTGGGAACATCTTCCAATTGTGCATGTGAGGCATTTTTGGGGCACGTTCTGTGATGGGCAGATGTGAAACCCTCGGCAGCTTAGGTACACGAGGCTAAGAGGATGCGTGTTCTTTTTAATGTAAACCCAACGAATTAAAAAAAAAAAAAAGGTTATTTGTATTCCTCCGTCTTATAAATTTTCATGAATTTATACAATTAAAAACAATAGGTGAGAGCAATCTATCACAATTGAAATGATACTATGTTATAGTTGGAAGTTTGGGACAATACATGAGAGCAAACCATTAATTAACATATCTTTGGGACAATACAAATACAATACAGGAACTCGGATTTGTTCCTCACACCACATTGCAACTGTACATTCCAAACATCTTCCGTACTTGTATGTTGTCATTAAGGGGAGATGTTCCCAATGCACAGCTGGATGTGGTATGAGATCGATGCAAAGAGCAGTRTGTGAGGACTGAGGAGCATTATCCAGGTTATGGGTTTTACTACTTATTGATAAAAATGTACAGGCTTGGGTTTTATCTTCTAAATTTTATATTTTTTTAACTTATTTTTGTCCAATTATACATTTTGCAAATTAAAAATATTGTTATCGAAAATACAATTATTCACCAAAATTCAAACAAAAAATCACACACCATACAACAACAAAAAACAAAATAATAATACAATTTATTACCTAACACTTATTACGGATATATTATTTTACGATTTATAATATTATCGAAGCAGATTAATTTAAAAAGTCCCAACCCAGACCAAAGACAAAATGGAGCCTACTACTTAGCAGCCCAAGGCCGAATTCGTGGGGCTCAAAATAGACTTAAGCCCGATTAAAATGGGCCAGGCTCGGCAAGCCCAACAGGCTAACCAGCTCATGAACAGATCCAAACACAATATACAAAACATTCCCAACTTGAGTATTGTAATTATGCCCACCCAATTTCAAATTGATCCCATCTCATGGTGAGATCTTATAAAAGTCAATAATAAAGTGCTAGGGCCTAGGGTCCACAAAGAAAAACATAGCCCATAGGGGATGGGCGGTGAAGGGGAAGAAGGGAATTCCAATTCCATTGTACGGAATTGGACTTTGGACCTCTGAATCTGAGGCTTTGACCTCCTTCACCTGTTTGATCGGTCCAGTCATCCCATGCGACTCCGTGTATTACGAGCATCTCCTATACCTGCCTCCCATCTCATGTCACGCCCATTCCAAGACAGAGTTTGGTAAGATTTGAATTTGGAAATTTGTCAATGGGGCTTATCGGGTCAGACCCAACCAGGCCCGGTTTTATTTTATTGGTCTTTAACAGTTTAACTTAGTAATTTGATAATAAATATTCTAGTTTTGTTGCTAATATACATTTAGGGCCCATAATAGGGACGGATGACTCAGAACAAGTATAGAAAAAGAATAAACAAAAATTATTTTGTTTACTGTTTTTCCTTCTTTGGTTGGTTTTTAAGATTCTTTTCTGACTCCTTTGTCCAATTCATTTATTTCTTTGTTACAAGCAGATGCTTAGAGCAATTCTATATTTCTTGAACAACAAGTTGGATACCCCACATGAATCCTTTTACAAAGAATAATTTAAGTGCATAAACTAAGATCATATCACTTAGGATCCATTAAGCACTCTATGGGTCCATAACTTGTTTTTTATAACCAAAGAATTATTGTATAATAAGAGATCAGAGAATTAAAGATCCTCGTCCGCCATTCCTAAATCTCATAGTAGGTGAGTGCATGCTCTTTCCTTGTTTTGCATATATCACTTAAAAGGGTATATTTTAATTCAGTGTAAGAACATGTACAAATATTAAGTATGCATGATATAGGGTATTTAGATTTCAACTTTTATGACATGCACGGAATTCAAGACAAGCATCTTTTATATATATTTAAGTGGGGAAGTGGAGGAAATGTGGTATTTTTCTAAGTTGAATTACAGCTGAAAAGTGCAGTCATTGGAGGTGGGAGATGACCCCACATCTAGGGTTTGGCTTGGGATTAAACAATTACCGTGTCTAGGGTTTTACAAATTTCTTTAGCATATTTAGTAGTCTTGCCAATACATGAAAGAAATATTAAAATGCTAGCTTTTCTGGATAAACCACAGTAGCAAGTAATCATATTGTTTTGGTAAAAATATCTCCCAGGAATACCATAAGCTTTGGTCTCATAAAGACATAAACAAGATTGAAAACCAAAGAAGAGAAATAGAAAAACCAAAAAACACTCACCAATTTTTCTTTTTCTTCATTTTCTCCTGTTATCTTTCCAATAAAATTCTCTTGGCATTGAAAAGCAAACGTCCATCATTTTCAGTAAGAAAATGACAAGAGAATAGGGGTTTTATTCTCCATTAGAAAATGTTTTATGCTGTTGTGTTGCCGCTCTCATGAGTGTGAAAAATACTTTTGCTCTTTTAAAACGTAGATGCTTTCTTGATATAAATAAATAAGAAAAAAAGAAAGACAGTAGATACTTTCGCTTATAGGCTTCTTGTTTTTTGAAATTTTTTGAACGTTGGATAAGATACTCGGCTTTAACATCGACCGTGAAAAGGTCAAAGTTACTTCCATGACCAAACCAGTTGAGAAAGGAAAAAGAACAAGGTAAAGGGGTTGTGTAATGGAGAAGATAAATAAAAAAAAAGGRAAATGTCTTGACAAAGGAGATAATTTTAGTCCCCCCCCCCCCCAATAGATTTTACAATCTTATTGTTTGCATTGGACTCTCAACTCTGAAAGTTCTGTTTGTTTGGAGTGCAAATTTCAAGTAAAATGGAGTGAATAATGGTAAATTTTTAGTTCACTTATTAAGCTCATTTGCTCTATCGATCTACTTGTAGGAACTTAATATGGGAGGTAAAATTCGAGAGTTGCCACCGCCAAAGATTACAATGGCGATTGCTTGATTTGATTGACAACAACTGAGATCTAATAATCAAAACTCCCAAACAATTCCTTACTCAAAAACGGAAATATCTCCGCATAAATCATAAACCCACCAAATCATCATAATAACCAAACTAATCTATCCATCAAGTTCTTGTGGCGACAGAAGAGATTGTTGGACAATAGTTGCATAGATAGAGAGGGAAGAAAATATTGAAGAGGGAGTAAAAATGTTCATTGGTTAACTATTCTCTCCTCTAAGATGGCTTCAAAAATTTTGCACTGCATGACTTTTTAAGATGCAAAATTTGCAGTGCTTAGGGATGAAAAGCAAAAGCAGGTAGGCCTGATCTGATTTTTCCACACCCCCCCCCCCCAATGAGGCAAAACAAACTCCAAACAAATGCAGCCTAAAGAGGGATTTGAAACAAAACATTCACAAATGCGCATTGACACACATATCGACATTTTTTCAAAGCACAAAAGCTTGGAAAATTAGTAAAAGAAACATCCGTTCTACTTCTACAACCAGAATTTGTGCGGATCGAAAAAACAGGAGAGAGAGAGAGAAAGAAAGAGAGAGAAGAGATGTTCAGCTTAATGTGTTTATTAGGAAATTTTAGCTATAGATATATAAGAAAAAATAGATATAGATTTCCAGAGGAGGAATGACCTGACTACGTTTGTTTTTTAATTTGTTTAAATGCAAAATGGGCAGAAAGTTTCACTCTGAAACATTTGAGCTATTTTTCCCTCTTTTCTTACAATTAAAACATTGTTTTCTTCGTCGTTTACATCAAAATGAACTAATGGGGTAGGACAAAAAAAGAAGT